CCCGCGCGGCGTAGCCAATCAGCGCCCGGCGCCGCCGGCACCACCGACCAATGAACGCGGCGAACGCGTCCCCGCCCAGCACGCCCTTCTCCTCGCCCGCAAGCCTATCCTGTGCGCGGCGCGGGAGGCGGGAACCCGGAGGCCCAGCGGCCAATGAGAAATCACAGCGCGTCCCACCGTAGCCAATCGGCGACCGGTCAACCCTTCCCCTCAGAAAAGGGCGGGCGGTCCCCGGAGCGAGGGGGGGTGGCGGAAATCGCCGTGGGGGCAATACCGGGGCGGGGGAATGCCGTGCCCTCACGTGACCGCCCGGTAACCAGGCCCCCCCTTCACCTCCCCAGCCTGCCTGTAGCCCCCACCGGCCCGTCGCCGTGAAGGGGCGGCCCGAGGGGTCGGTGGAGGTGCCCCTCGCACACCCCACGCCCCGCACCGCCCTCCTCCGCAGGCGGCAGCCGCCGATCGGGGCCCCGGTGCGGGCGGGCAGCGGGGGAGACCCTCGCGGGCAACGCCACCTTCCCCCTCGCGGTGCCCTGGACCGGGCAGCGTGGCGCTGGGGCCTTGTGACAGCGTCAGGGCACCTCAGGCTGTGGGACGGGCCTGCAGAAGCCTTCGGGGCCGTAAAGCGCTCGTCAGGCCGCCCCATGTTACCGCCCTGCTCCACGGCCCGCGGCTGCTGCCTCTGCTTCCCAACGCACGGGATGGCCGTCTCGCCCATGCCTCGAGTGCCTCAAGGGTGGGTTGCAGGAGGATGGAGCCGAACTCTTTTCAGTGGTTCCCAGTGACAGGATGAGGAGCAACAGGCACAAGTGGGAACACAGGAAGTTTCATTCAAATATGAGGAAAAACTTCTTTGGGGTGAGGGTGGCAGAGCCCTGGCAGAGGCTGCCCAGGGAGGGTGTGGAGTCCCCTTCTCTGGAGATCTTCAAGCCCCGCCTGGATGCTCCTGAGTGATGTGCTCTGGGCAACCCTGCTTTGGCAGGGGAGGTCGGACTGGATGATCTCTAGAGGTCCCTTCCAACTCTGACAATTCCATGATTCTGCCATTCCCACCCAGGTCTCACCCTACACTCAACTTGCCCCGTGAAACAGCCCTGCTAGTATACTCACGGGGCAACCTCGGGCTTTCTTACAGTCCAGATTTTACATTTCAAGCAGGCTCCCCATCCCCTGGCACCTGCGGGATGGCGACAGGGATAGTGGTCCCTTGGGTGGATGAGGATGCTGCTGCCCACAGTGGTGTCACCCTGCCAGCACCTGGACAGGGCAGCATGAGGAATTAACGAGCTGAGCTCAGCCCCAGCCAGGTCTGGAGGGCTTGAGGGTGTAGGGACAAGTGTGATGTTGGTGCTTGGCAGAGGACAGCCACCTCCACCCGGCCCAGGGGCCATGAGCTTCGAGCGGAGCTGCCCTGTGCCTGGCTCTGAGAGGTGCAGGAGGGCTGGGAGCCCCCTTCTTGCCCCACGGCTGCTGGGTGTTGGGGCACTGGGGCCAGTTACATGCGTTCCCAATGCCCCAGTGTCGCAGGGATGTGCCGAGCATGCCCAGGAGGAAATCCCAGTGTGGCTGCCAAGGGCACCCGGACTCTGACCCTGCAACTGTTGGGCGTGCAGAGGTGTGCTGGGTGATAGGTGACCCTGGGGGCACGGGAGGGGTATGGCAACAGCCAAGAAGAAAGGACCTGAGTGGAGAGACAGGAAATGATGTGATGCGGAGTTTTTTTTTCCTCTGGCCGTTTGCTTTCGTTTTTCCCTGGCGGCAGAAAGTCCTCCTGGCTTCCTTGGCAGGCCTGGGAGTGAGGGGCGATGGCTGGTGAGTATGACTAGTGGTACTGGGGCTTGGTGATAGTACAGGGTCCTGTATGGGGCCTGCTTGCCGTGGCCAGCATGATCCACAGGAACATGGTGTGGCGCACCGGCAGGGACCCACGGCACTGCAACTCTGAGTAGCCAGGGCCCTGCTCCTTGAAAATGTGTCCTCTGGGGTACACCTTGTGAGTGTGTGGGGAAAAAGCGGAGGTGGGTGATGGGAAGCCCCAGGGGTGGGCAATGAAGGAGGGAGCAGCACCCTGGGTGGGCAATGGGGAGGGGGAGCACCTGAGGTGGCTGTTGGGGGAGGGATCAGCAGCTGGGGGCACAATAGGGGTAGGGGGCAGCACCCAGGGAAGTGATGAGGAAGGAGGGAGAAGCTAGAGGGGTGATAGGGAAGGGATCAGCACCCTGGGGAGGCAATGGGGAAGAGGAAGCACCCAGGGCGGACAGTGGGGCAGCAGGAGCCTTGGTGTGGGGGGTCTGGGCACTGATGGGGCTGCTCTTGCAGACCAGCTGCTCCTGAATGTGCGGACAGAATTCGTGGCGCGCGTGACCAAGTCAGTGATCTCTGGGCTGCTAGACGACCTGTTGGACCAGAGGGTGCTGCACCTCGACGAGGTGGACGAGGTACAGGATAAATACACAGTGCGCGCCGACAAGGCCCGCTGTCTCATCGACATCGTGCGCCTGAAGGGCCCCAGGGCCAGCCAGATCTTCATCGACAGCCTCAAGAAACGCGATGGCACCTTGGCGGAGCAGCTGGGTCTGGCCACTCAGCAGGGTGAGAGAAGCGGGGCTGTGGTCTGCTCCTGGCCATGCTGGGGCTCCCAGGGCCTCCGATGGGGTGCTGGAGGGGTCCTGGCCCTGGCGGGTGTCCAAAGCCTGAAGGCAAGGGGCAGTTGGGCATCCCTGGTGTCACTGCTGTGGCACTGAGTCCCCCTTGCCATGCAGTGACAACAGGGCTCTCAGGAGTGGCCGTGCTCCGTGTCAGTCTCCTCTTGCTGCAGGTGCTTCCCAGTGTAACTGCGGGGCTTTCTGCTTGCAGGGCCCCCGGGTGATCAGCTGCCCCACCCTGAGCCCTCCGTCGGCATCCAGGGCCAGCAGCAGTGGATCCAGCAGTGCTCCCTGAGCGAGTACCAGCGCATCAGGGACAAAGAGGGAGACCAGGTGCTGCAGGCAGAGGAGATGAAAGGATGGCTGGAGCATGGCCTGGCCGCTCTGCTGGGGCGGGCAGGGGCTTGCCAAAGGGAGACAGGGTCTTCGCTGACCCAAGAGTGGGGCAGGAGATGTGGGGAGATGCCCCAGGGACAGGGAGATGTGGTTGCTGCACCCATGGGCCTTCTCTGCTATTAGTTACCTCCCAAGAAAGGCCCCCTGCGCCCACCCACTGCTGAGTACTGCCTCTCTCTGTACTCACAGATCTATCCCATCCACCTACCGCGTGAGATGCGAACCCGTAGAGCCCTGATCATCTGCAACATTGAATTTGAGCACTTGAGCTGGCGGAAAGGGGCTGAAGCTGATGTGGCGGGGATGACAGAGCTGCTGGAAGGGCTGGGCTATGTGGTGGACATCCATTGCAACTTAACTTCCCAGGTAAAGGACTACACAAAGCAGCTGCCACCAGCCCCAGGACTGGCGTGTGATGGGGCACTCACGCACCACAGGGACACCTCTGTCCCCAGTGGCAGTGGCTCTTGTCCACAGCTGGTGGCTGTGTCTTCACACAGGTGGCTCATGTTCCTTCCTTGTGCTGGTTTGTAGGGGATGGCTTTGGTCATGAAGGATTTTGCGGATCGCAAAGAGCACTGCACCTCTGACAGCACCTTCCTGGTCTTCATGTCCCACGGGGTCAGGGCTGGGCTCTGTGGGACTGAGAGCAGAAATGAGACCACAGACATCCTTTCCCTTGACACCATCTATGAGACATTCAACAACAAGAACTGCCGTGCGCTGTTGGGCAAACCCAAAGTGGTCATTATCCAGTCCTGCCGTGGAAGTGAGTCCCTGTTCCAAGGTGCCTGCGAGGCAAGTGAGCCGGCCGGGCTCTCCCAGGGCACGTGAGTCCTGGGCACAGGGTGAGGATGGGACACCCCATCATTGCTGATGCTTGCCCTGCCTTTCTAGGAAAAGTAGGGTCTGTGTGGATGAGCGACTCCAGTGACCCTGCCGTGCCCACTCCCACCGAGGCTGACAGCCCTGCAGGGCTGGAAGATGATGCAATGTTTCAAGTCCACCTGGAGAGTGATTTTGCAACTTTACATTCCTCCACTCCTGGTAAGCAGTTCCTGGAGACAGTTGCCCTGCCTGAGGGCCAGCAAGGGGGACAGGACTCCCATTCCTGATGCCTTGGGTCTCTTCCACACCTCTTCCTCCACCGGGGGTCCCTTCTATGTGGTGACCGCTTTGGCATTGCTCCAACAGCCTCTGAAGAAGGCAGTGTCCCCTGATATCTGGGTACAAGGCTGCTGTAGGACACTCACAGGTGCCTCTTAGCCACACCAGGCCCAGAGCTTTGCGTCTCTGCCTGGCTGCCTTCCCTTGCCTCTGCTCCAGCCCTCCCCACCGGCTCTGCCTGCACTCCTTCCCCAGCCAATTTATCTGGCTGCAGTGGCTGGCTGGGGGAAATTGTCTTCTCCTGATGGGTCACAAATGGCTCCAGGCCATGCCAGCTGCCAGGCTGGGAGCATGGGAGAGCAGAGAGCCTTGAAGAAAATACATCACTTCTGTCTTCCCTTGGATGCCCTCTCCTTTTCCCATGCTGTGGGTCAGATGGGCCCAATATAATGATCTGAGAGAAGGCACCCCAGTCTCCTGCTCTGGCACCCAGTGTTAATCATTGTTGTAGTGAGGGACACCAGTGAAATCACATTTGGCGTCTTCTTCCTCCCCAGACACTGCCTCCTGGAGAGACGAAAAAAAAGGCTCCGTTTTCATCCAGCGCCTGATAGAGCAGTTTCGAAACCACGCCTGTAACAGCGACTTACAGGAGATCTTCCGAAAGGTGAGGCTTTGTAGTTAACTGCAGGTGTCCAAAACACTGCTCAAGAGCTGGGGCCAGGGCAGGCGGTTTCTCAGCAGGCCCCTCGGGAAGAGTCTCTGTCAAACATGGGTCTGGTTGGCCTGGAAATTCATCTCGATCTCTGGAGGCGTCAGCACCCTGCCACACAGTGCACGTGCACGAGCCCAGCGTGTTGGCCTCACCCATGGCATTCCTTGTGCCACGACACACACCTGGGGATGCCCCTGGAGATGCCTCCTGACTCCCTGCACCTTTCCCATGCTGGGAATGGAGCTGTTCTCATTTCTCCCCGCTCTCTCTCTCACCTCAGATCCAATATTCCTTTGGACGATTCCCTCGCCAGTTGCCATCACAAGAACGGTCTACCATGCTCAGGAAGTTCTACCTCTTCCCAGGCCACTGATCTCCTGCCCATGGTGAGTCTCTTCACCTCACACCTCTGCAGCAGCCTTTTGTCTGTGCCCTAAACCCGGTACCCAGCCAGAGGGGAGGAGCAGGGAGAAATTCCCCATCTCTCCTGGGCTCCAGACCTCGTGGCTCGGTCAGGAGATCCAAATGACTTGTGTGCTGGTAGCCAGGGCCAGGCAGTGGCCTGACTCTGTCCCCATCTCCCAGCTGGCTGTAGCAGGGACAGGTGCTCAAGGAACTCATTTCAGTAGCCTGTGTCTCAGGAGCTTCTTGGTCTAATGCTCTTCACAGGTGAAAAAGTAATACACTGGCAGCACAAGTGTTTGAATTTGGGATAACACAGCAGAAAGCTCAAGGCGAACACAGCCCTGCTCCAGAGAGACGCACTACTTCAGCAGGGAAAGGACAAGAGGAAAAGCCAAGACCAGCTCTGCAGAAACGCAGTCAATCTCCACACCAGCTACTCGTGCCCCTCTGCCAGGCAATCCTAAACCTGGAATAAAACAGTCCTCGGTCTTCTTGCCTCCCTTCATGTCCTTCAAACAGCCCCAAACTGAGCAAACTCTTCCCAGGGAGCAGCAGAGACACCTGGCTCTGGAGCACCAAATGCAAAGCTGGTTAGTGTCTCTCTTACCTGTGCCCAGCGGTGACACAGACGATCTGTCACCCCCAGAGCTGCTTCCGCCCCATCTCAGGCTTTACCCATCCTCAAATAAAGTGGTTTTTACGGCAGACCTCTGCCTTTAGCCCACAGCTGGGGGGTGGTCCTTGTGTCCAGCAGTAGCTGCTGTTCTGTGTCCTTGGGGGACAGTGAGCAGGCGGGAGTTGGGAAAGGAGAGGGGGCTGAGGGAGGAGGGGACGCCCGCCTTCAGGACTGGCTGGGCAGATGCACTCAGGGGGGGATTTCCGTGCCTCGCAGCACCTCCTTGTCAGGAAGCAGCTTCCCCCACTCCCCAATCCTCCCACTGCCCCTGAGGTGGAGGGAGGATGTGACTTCCCCTGGGAGCCATGAAAGATCCTCAAATCTGTGTCTTCTGCAGCTCGGCATGTTGCAGGCCCAGCCCAATTGTCACCTCCCACCGGTGTCCCCGCTGGTGAGAGCCCCTTCCTGTGCCACCACTGCCCTCCCTGTCCTCCACGGCCACATCCAAACCATTTTCTACCTTGGCGCGGATTCAGCTTTATTGCACGTTTTGCCAAATCACATCCAGCCCCACAACCAGGTGGTCTGGCAGCAGGAAACCAAGAGGGCTCTCCTGTCACCTCCTAGTGTCCCCTCCAGTGCAGGTGGGACAGGCTGCACCAAAAGGGCAGTGTCCTGGGCTGGTGCCACCCCATGTCCCTGCAGAGTGTCAGGAGAGCTCAGTGGGTTGGAGGCGCCTCTCCACTCCGTCTCCAGGAGACCTGGGGTGGGAGAAGGCCTTGCAGGCAGGACCGGACTGCAAAGTGGGCAGCTGGGCTGGGCTGAGCTGAGCCCCTTCTCACAGAGCCCCATGTCCCGGCCCGGAGCTCCTCAGGTCCCACGAGGTGCTTGCAGAAACCCCGGTCCCCAGCACTATGGTGCTGGCAGGAAATTGAGGACAGCAGTGATGAATTCTTCAAATTTATCCTGATGGACTATGTGGCCTGCCCCTTCGATGTGCTGGATGTCTGCCTTGGGGAAGAGGCGTTTGATCTCAGGGTAGTCTTTGGAGCTGCAGGATGAGAGAAGAGTGCTCAAAGGGCCATCCGGGTGCCTTCCCTCACCCTCCCCAGGGAATTTTGGCTCTGAGCATGTACCCTACTGGAAAAGCCCCCAGGTTCCCCTTGGCTCTCCAGCATGTCGCTGTCACCAGCTGCTGGAGGCACCGAGCTTGCTCCAAGACCTTATCCATCTTGGTGCCTTCCTCCCACCCTTGGCAGCTGCAGAAGAGCACAAGGCCTCGAACCACGGGCTTTGAACTGCATCTCTCCAGTCCCACCTGATATAGGGCGAGTTGGATCCTCCCAAGAAGAGTGTGGGGCCAGGATAAGGCTTGTGGAAGACGGGGAAGTTCATGATGTCTGCCAAGTGGTGGGAAATAGCCTCCAGGTTCACCCGCCAGATGTAGCGGCCCTCCACCTCCACCAGGTTGGTGAGGAGGAACTGTCTCAGCTGCGGGAGCTGCCATAAAAGGATATCGCATGCTCTTCAGTGAGAGCATCAAGCCCTCAAGATGCCCTGGTACCCTCCGTCCTTCTCTCCACCCCCTGCTGCTTGTTTCTCATTCCCCATCGCCCCTGCGGCCCCAGTGAGATGTCCTCCAGCAGCGAGTGAGCAGGGGCGGAAAGAGTCCTGCTGGGACTGTGGCCCTAAAGCCCTGTGCTCTGGTCCCGAGGACAGGCTGGAAGCAAAAACCCCATCTGAGGAGCGAGATGTCCTACCTGGACCACCGGACGCAGCTGATCATCTGCCAGCTGGCGGGCAGCAGAGCGGGAGAGACCATCCGGGATCTTCACCGACTTCATGGCAGAGATGTAGGCAGAGAATTCGGAGACGGGGGCGGTGGAACCGGGACTAATGTCTACAGAGATGAGACGCTCCACCAGGTCTGGCTGGAGATACAAGCAGGGCAGACAGAAGCCAGTTGAGATGTCCCTGGTAGGGATGGGGCTCTGCTCCCACTCAGACTCCCTGGAGGTTTTTCATTCCCTCCTGCTCCTGTATCCCCTTCCCCGCATTCCCATTTCCCTAGGCCTTGGCACAGGTCATCTCCAAGCTCCTTGGCAATCAGTGCCAGAGGTGGACAGAGACTTCTCCTGCTCCTGGCTCACAGTGGGACAGGACCCAAACTGTGATGGAGAAGAGCCACCCCCCGGCGGGGCTGGGGGCAAGGCCGGCCCCGGTGAGCAGCTCCAGCAGGTGCCACCCCCCCTTCCCGCAGCCTCCCGCTGCCCCCCGCCAGCCCCGGGAGCCCCAACGCCTGCCCACCCGCTGCAAGGCCAGTGTCATGGCTGTCTTGCCCCCCATACTGTGTCCCAGCAGGATGCACTTGGCGATGCCCAGGCGGGTCAGGAGGTGCTGAACGTCCAGGCTCATGGCCTCGTAGGTCATCAGGGGGCTGTGGGGGCTGCCGCCGTGGTTCCGGGCGTCCAGCGTCACCACCTGCCTGGGCAGAGGCACCCGTCACCCCCGCCCTGGCTGGCACCAGCCCCTCGCAGCCCTGTCCCCTGCCCCCCAGGGCCTCACCTTGCCGCTGCCGCCGCGCACCAGCGCCTTGGCCACCGTCTGGAAGTTGCCGTGGCTACCGAAGAGCCCATGGAGCAGCACCAGGGGCGGCCGGTCCCCGCGGCCCCCCACCACGGTGTGGGCCAGTGGCAGGGCGCTGCGGGGAGAGGGGTCCGTGGGGCGGGGCCGGGAGAGGGGGGCGGGGCCTAACAGGGCGTGGCAGGGGTCTGGCTGGCTGCCC